GAGACAAGGTCTTGCTCTGTTGCTCAGGCCACACTGTGAATTATGGGCTGCTGATGTGACACAGGCCAAACCTTGTGCTGTTCCTTCCCTGTTGACTGCCCCCAACCCCCATTCCCCAGCACCAACTGTCCCCTTAACTGCTGAGATAGACATTCCACTGGTAACAGCCAGCGCTTTACTGCCAAGGCTCACACAGCCAGAGTGATCTTTTTGGCATCTTCATCAGATTTCTTCACTACCCTGTTCAAATCTATCCTATAACCTCCTGCTTCACATCTAAAACAAGATCCATACTCCTCAGTATTGCCGATGTGGCCCACTGGGGTCTTCCTTATACCTGCTTCTCCAACCACAACTTTCCTTCTTCTGGGGCTTTCCTTCCTGGCCACAGTAACCTTTCTGCTCCTTGAGTAGCTCAGTCTCATTTCTAACTCAGGGTTTTTTTGTGTACCTTTTGGTCCAGGAATTCTCTCTTCAGCTCCTCACATGACTCTCTTGATCCCATCTCTGCTGAAATGCCCTCTCTTCAAATAAGCCTTCTCTGACTGTTTTGTATAACTATTCCTTATCACTCTATGCTTTTATTTTCCTGTATAGCACTTTTTTTGTGTCTGTGGTGCTGGGGATTGAACCCAGGGGCTTGTGCATGTGAGGCAAGCACTCTATATCCCCAGCCCTGTATGGCAATTTTAATTACTTGAATTTTGTTTTTTTTTTAATTTTTGTTTAGTGCTGGGGAATGAAACACAGGAGTTGGCCCACACTAGGCAAGCACCTTGTGACTGAGCTACAACTGCTGCCCCTGAAATTGTATTGTATCCTTATCTCATCCTTTGTTGGTGGTGCCTTAATGAGAGAAACTAATTTGTTAATATATTGGAAGTAGCTAGCTAGCAGCTTGCTATCTGAAATGTAACAGGTTCTCAAAAACACTTGTTGAATAAATGAATAGCTGGATGGGTAGACTGTAGATGGACCAGCATCTTCTCATTCCTGCCCGTCTTCTCACACACACTCATATACCACATACATATGGAAGCACTTAGCATATTTTTTTGTTTTGGCTCTGGGAATGGAACCCCATTAGTCTCGTGCATGCTACAGTGTGTGTGCTCTACCACGGAGCTACACCCTCAGCTCAAGGCTCTCATTTCTTGATGAACTGATCTGGGTGCTGACCCAGGCATCATTCAGTTAGGCATCATTGCAGACGTTATGTTAAAAACTGTACCTGAAAGTCCCTCTGAAGACAGAAGTCCTTAGAAGACCAAGTCCTCCATGTAGAAATGTACTTCAAGGGAACGAGGGTGTTTGAAGCTTGACCTTGAATAAGCTGAATTTCAAGTCAAACATTGTTACAGAAAAATTTATTGAGGAGTATGGGGTGTCTTGTGGTCATAAAGGACTGGGAATAAAGGAGCATGAGAGGCTCAGGGTGGCGCTACTGACTTTCCCCAATCCTTCCTGTTCCAATAGCTATTGTGCCTGGCTGAGCACAGGCAGGGGGCTCCCTGGGTAAACAGTGCTTCCAGTTTCAGGAAGCCTACCCGATGGTTTGTGCTGATGTTTCTGGCAGTGAGTCAGGGCTGGACCTATTTGGTGGATAGGTCACCAGTTGGCCCCTCTTTCTGAAGAGTGCAGTGTTCTGTGTTCTGCACAAGGAGGCACTGCACAGCATTGCGCAAAGGAATGCCAGGTCTTCTTCAAGGCCAGCTTTAGCCCTGCTTTGTTCAAAGGAGCCTCTCCTTTCAAATCCCATTTTCTTGCCTGTGGCAGTTTATATGGAAGGGAACCCCTGGCTGAGAAAGGCTCATGCAGATTGACTGAAGTTCTGTCTCAAGTAGGGGCAGTGGAGACTTCAGAAGATGGATTAGCTGAACATATTTAGTGAAGACTACCTAATTTTAAAAATTTGTTTATTAAATATATAATCACATATTGATACGGTTAATCATTATAGGGAAAAAAAGATTTGAACAACTGTATTGTGACAAAAGGAATTCTAGATGCTGGGTGCTAAGCCTGCAGGGCTCCAGCGTGCTCTGTTGTGTGCAGGGTTGGTGCCCATGTGGGATCTGGGAGGCATTTCCACTGTATTTCCCGCTTTTGTGAGTATTTTAAGCATCATATGTTATTTAGCCAACTGGCAACCATGAGTGAATGGATGAAGAAAAGCCCCTTAGAATGGGAAAACTGTTTACAAAAAAGTCACTGATAGCCAGTGAGGAGTTAATGGATGACTTTTAAATACAGATCCAGTCGTGCCAAGCTCTGAAGACACCAGTACAAGCTGCAGTAGTCCTTATGACAAGGTCCTAGCCGTGACACCATTGAAAATAATTTGAAACCATCTTCAGTTCTCTCAATTTTTTGTACATTTTAATAACTTTATAATTAACAAAACAATAATTTTTTTCTGTAAAATATATAGGAATTATAATTTAAAAAACAGAAGAAGTTGTATTAGTTGTCCTGTGTAGTCAATGTTTGTGCTCTCTACAGAGGCCCATCCAGCAAACTTCTGTGGCAATGGTCTCTTGCCACTCTGCTTTAAGCCACTAACTTTGGGGCAAGGGCAACCAGGGTCTTTTCTGTCTCTGCTGGAGATCGGCGTTTCTTGGGAGCCCCCCTGGCTCGCTGCATTGGCTTCTCTGCTTTGGCCTTTGCTGGAGTGGCCAAGGGAGCATCTCTATAGAGCCAGTACCCACCAACTAGGCAGTATGTCTCCCCATGCCAGCCCACCTGGGTTTCTCCACATCCTTGGTAGAGGACATGGTAGTACACAGGTGTAGGAGGAGATGTGGGAGGCACTGCTGCTAGAAAGAAAATCAGAACTGAATCAGTCATTTCTGCTTTATTATATATTCTGCCACCAGGACCTCACTCTCCTGTTGCTTCCTGTTTCTGAATGAAGCCCTCTTATCTTCTTGGCTTCCCAAGCATAGCCTTTCCCTGTCTCTTCAAGGGATGCTTGCTGTCAAAGTACTTGAGTTCTGTGAAGCCAGTGGAAGCAGCAGAACCAGATCTCTCTTCCCCATTCCTAGAGAGAACATCTAACCTTAATATTATCACAAAAAGCCCTCACTCAGTCTCTCCCTTCTATAACTGGAAAAGAAATCCCCTCCCCCCTGTACTGGAGATTGAACCCAGGGGCACTTGTCCACCGAGCCACAGGCCTAGCCCTGTTTTGTATTTCATTTAGAGACAGGGTCTCACTGAGTTGTTTAGGACCTCACTATTGCTAAGGCAGGCTTTGAACTTGCGATTCTCCTGTCTCATCCTTCCAAAAATTTCTTAAGTTATATGATTTCTGAGAAGGAAAAAAGAAACAGTAGGCCTGGAATATAGCTCAGTGGTGGAGAGCTTGCCATCCACAGTACTGCAATGAAAGAAAATAAAATCATCTGAGTCTTTGTCCTACTTGTGGCAATTTGGAGTGTGAATTATCAAATACAATGAAGTTCTGCCCCAGTGATAATTGTTAAGGCAGCCAATAAAGCATCATTTATCGTTTGAAAGCATACCACGACACAAAATAAAACCCATTTTAAGATTGACCCAAATATATGCTCTCTGAGAATCTTGGGGAACTCTGGATAAAAGTGAAATGTTCCCCAAAGTGTTTATGAATAAGGAAGTGAAACCAGGCATGAAGAACAAAAGCAGAAGAATGGATCAAATTTGAATTCCTGAATTCTTGTTTTGCTCTGAGATTATTTTAATTAAGGTCAGAGACCACCTATTGCTGTCTCCTTTCTAGAAAATAAAATGTGCTTGGGAGAAAAATGTAGTCAGGTTGGAAAGTTCCCACATATATGAGAATGCTCCAGCATGTATTTCTTGGAATTTTCTTTTTACCTTCTTCAGAGAAGGGAAATACTGTGGGGCCAGTACAGTTGCTGATATCCCAGTGTTATTGGCAGAGATTATGTTTAGTATCTTTCAACTTATGGCCTTAAAACTCTTTCTAGACAGAAAATAGCTGGGTTCTGGTCTGTGAAGGCTTTGAGCTGCCTGAGGATGATGCAGAAGAAAAAGGACACAGAGGCACATGTGGATCAGCAATCTGGGGCTTACTAGGTGTGCAGTGCCAGCATCTGACCCTACTTTTAGGAATTTCAGCTTTCTAACTATTGTTCTGTTTGACAGACATCTCTGTGTATTCCTTTGATGTGAATTAAGTTTAAAATGAAAAAAAAAGTTTATTCTTCATGTATTACATGAAAGGCTATGCTACTATGGTCCCATGCTTCACTGTTCCAAAGGTGGCCAGTACCTTATCTTTCAAAGCCACAAGCAGCTCACCAGGCCTTGAGAGGCATTAAGGGCAGTGAAAATGATAAGTGTGTTCACCCACCCAGGACACTAGAAAAGATTCCTTATCCAGAATTCTACTTTAGTTGGCCCAAAACAGGCTTGCTGAGGTAAAGGCTCTCTCACTGAGGATGCTAGCCCTGGAAGGCTTCTCCTTGGATGAGCTGTAAGTTCAACCTTCTGAACCGGGCTCACATCCCAGGGATAGGTCAAAAAGCTGATGATTGTGCCTGACACCTTGCTCCCAATCCCTGTTCTGTGGATGTAATCTTGCAGGGTGAGGGGAAAATCATAATTAACAACCAGTTCCACATGGGTGCTGTCTAGGCCTCAGGAGGCTGTTTGTGCAAAGCAGTATGTCTTGGGAGCACTGTTAGAAGCATTATAAGATACTTGTTCTCACTGAGGCTGGCATTTGCCCCTGAAGGCTTAGGTGTTTGATTTTGTGGTCATCCAGAATATATTCCCACCCGATTTCCAGTGAAGGAGGCCAGAGACCCCCACACTGAAGACCCTTGCCATAATTAAGCTTCTCCTCTGGTCAGAAAGATTTTTACAAAGAGTATCAGCAGGCAGGATGTCTGCAGAAGGCATTGTGGTTTGAAACTTACTCTTTCTTGTAAATGCCAGGATTGCACACACAAGGTATGAGTAGAGTCTGGAAGCTCATTATACAAAAAGATATTATCTCTGTTTTGTTGGTTTAAAAAAAAAAAAAAAAAAAACAACCTTGTGATATCTGTGTCTCACGTTGGGGATGGAACACAGAGCACTCGTCAGCACTAACTGAGCTTTGGGGTTGAAAGGGTCTTGTAAGAAAGCTGGGCCTTGGGCTATATAACTCTTTTCCAAGATGTAGTTCACCAAGATGTTTCTGCCTCATCCAACAGCATGAAGGAGAGTTGCTCCACGGTGATCAGTTGACTCTTCAGGGCCTTCCATAGAGCCCCCGGAGCAGCAACTAGCCTATATGTGCTGAAGGTTGTTTGGACAGTTGCAGCCTGATTCTACGCATGCCATGACCTCCTCCTAGTTCTTGTACCCGCAGGCCCAAGGAGCAGCCTAGCGATTGGGCCACAGGCTGCACCTGTTCTGCTAATTCTCGGGAAGGCACAAGGACCAGACCCCGAGGAGCAAGTATGCGGTGGGTTTCCAGAGCTGGACGATCAACAAGCCTTTGCAACAGAGGAAGTAAATAGCTCAGAGTGTTGCCACTGCCGGTTTCTGCAGCGCAAAGGAGGTGGTGGCTGTGAAGCAGTGGGGGTCTGGTGCGTGACTGCACGGTGGTGGGCCGAACGACTTCGGGATCGCGAGCAGCATCGTGCAGTGCGCGCAGCAACCTGGGCTCCAGACCCAGGTCCGCGAAGCTGCCGTCGGAGGCAGGCTCCGCAGCGCTGGCGCCTCTAGTTGTGCGCGCTCCATGCTCCCAGTCACGCGAGGCGAGCACTCTCAACGGTCCAGCGTGAGGCGCGCTGGCTGGTTTAACTAAGGCCGCTGGGCAATCCACGCACGCTCTCTCGTTGTTCCTGCCGCCGGGGTAGAGCTCGCGGAATGAGCACCACTGGGAAGGGATCGTCGAGGGCGCCTACAGCAACTGAGCGACGACCAACCACAGCAACGTCGGGCGCGCGACAGGTTGCCCTTGTTGTTGGAGAGGCGCACGTCAGTGACGTCACGCATGCGCCGCTTCCTAGCGTACGGCGGCTGGCTCGGCTCAGTAAGGTGCGGAGCTGGAGACGCCTCAGGAAGTGGGCAGGATTCCCTACGTTTCAGTGACTGCTAGGTCTGTAGATCAGCACCGGGATGGCGACATCCAGCTCTAGACCGCCTTTGGATGGGGAGCGCTGTGGAGGCAGGAGCATGGGCCTGCAATACCCGGTGTCAGTGGGGCCCTGGTCCTATGGACCTAGTGGGCTGGTGTCTTCTGGAGATCGGGTCCTCATTCTTTGAGGTTCTCGTTTGTCGTCCACATTGCCCTTGTTGATGGCTTGTTTAGTGCCAGGCTCCCCTTGTAAATTCCTTGGGTGAGGGATGCGGTGACGTTTCCAGATATGCGGAAAGACTGGTAATACGTGTTTTCCCAGCGTCTGAATGAATGGTAGGCCTGGGGACTGAGACAAGGGTGTGGAATTATAAATCTAAGCTCAATTCCCGCTCCACTCTGGCTCAGAACTCGCAGTACAAGGTGGTGTCCTTAAGCTTATTTTTTTCTCTGAAGTGGGAGGTAAGTTGATAAGGCTTTCTTTTTAGTGGTGACATCTCTTCTTCACATTAAAAAAAATTATTTTTAAAGTCAAATTTCTCTTTCTGCTTCCTTGTTACCTTTCCATATTTCCCATGGCGAATACACCACTCTCACAGCCAACTCACCTTCTATCTCAGGTATGGTAATTTCACAGATAGTAATAGAAAAGATCCAGAAGTCCTCAGCTTTGTTATGTGACTTATTTCACATAGGCCTGGTCAGTAAGAATATTTGACTGAAATTCAGGTATTCAAGTTGTAAAAGAGAGTTACACTAATCATACTTCCTGAAAAGTTCTCTCTTGATTGTAGACCCTATCCTCAGATTGCGAATCTGTAGATTCAATCAAGTGTGGATTGGAAATATGCAGGAGAAAAATGTATCTGGGACTAGTGGAATATCTCAGATGGTAGAGCTCTTGCAAGGTAGGAGTGAGGCACTGGGTTCAGTCTCCAGCAGGACACACACACACACACAGAAAAAAAATAAAGAAAAAAGGAAATTTGTATTGAATATTAAGAGACCTTTTGTTTTGGTGGGAAAGTCTTGAACCAAGAACCTCAAAACATGCTAGGCAAGCTCTCATAATGCCTTTATCCTCAGCCCTTTAACAGTGTCTTACTAGGTTGCCTAGGCTGGCCTTGCACTTGCAATCCTTCTATTTCACCCTCCCAAGTAGCTGGGATAATAGGTGTGTGCCTCCAGCACAGCTTCTATGCTACTTTTATGATTCTTCCTAAAAACGAAGAGGTCATTGGAAGTCTGACCTGACAATTTTCCTCCATTTCAATGTGCTCTTGCACCAAGCCAGAACAGATAACAGTTGCTGACTCAAATAACAAAAAAGGGGCTAAGGGTGTTGCCCAGTGGTTAAGTGTTATGGGTTCAACCCTGAGCACAAAAATAAATAAATAAGGGGCTAGGGTGGTGGCTCAGTGAAAGAGTGCTCGCCTAGCATATATGAGGCACTGGGTTCGATCCTAGGCATCACATAAAAACAAACTAATGTATCCACCTAAAAGTAAAGATACATAAATTAATAAATAAGGAAATAAATAAATAAAATTGCAGCCCACCAAGACTGGCAGCACACATTTGCAGTCCTTGGTACTTGGGGGGTTAAGGCAGAAGAATCTTTGGGTCAGGAGTTGGAGACCAGCCTGGGCCATATAATGAATGAGACCCTGTGTTAAAACAAAATAAAGAAACAAACAAAAAAAGTAAAAATAAGATTGCTGCATTTTAAGAAAGGCAAAGTTTGCAGTTCATCACCTGCTCTTTTCTCTTACAGATCCCTACCAGTTTTTCAATCTGCTGCTTAATGACTTTTGCCTGTGTTCCTCCAGTAGCATGAAAGCTGTGCTGAGCAGGAATTTTTGTCTGTTTTGTGTTCTAATGTATTCCAAGAGACTAGGACAGTGCTGGGCAGAGATTAAGTACTTAATGAATAGTGGTTCGATGAATGACTGAACATGCATGTTTTATAAGATCAGACAAAAGGAACGCAAATGACTGTGGGTTGGAAGGAAAAAGGGAAACCTGTCCTTGCTAAAAGAAGGGACTGTTTCCACTTGAATTTCTGACCCTTATTTTCCTGTTCTTCAGGTGAAACAGAGGAGGAATGATTGTGAATAGTGTCTCTCTGTGCTACCACAACAAACTCATCTTAGCCCCTATGGTTCGGGTTGGCACTCTCCCAATGCGGCTGCTGGCCCTGGATTATGGAGCTGACATTGTTTACTGTGAGGTAAGTGCTCCTGGTTTTCTGGGAGGGCTTTCCCACAAGTGCAGCCTCCTCATTTGGATGTGGGAGTGGTCAGGAGTGGGGGAGGCAGGATGGGAACTCCCCACACAGGTGTTTGTTGAAGGTGGGAGGGGAGCAACAGGCAGGCACTGATGAGTTCTGTGGGCCCTGCTGAGGGCCAGCATCCTGGGCAGCACAGAGGCGTTAGGGTTGCTGAGATGAGTAGATGAGCATCAAGTTGGGGAAGTGCCGTGGCCCCTGTAGGAGCTAACATACATTCAGAACATCAGTAAATGGACTCAGAGGTTAGGAAGAAGAGGAAAAGGACCAGAATCAGGCTAATGAAGCTGGATGAGGTTGGTTTTGGGTTGCCATAGGATTTTCTGGTGGTGATAGCTGGTAGGCCAGTAGATATACTTGCTGACTGCTCTGGAGAAAAGTAGGCTTTAGACCCAGGTTTAAAAAGATCTGTCAAGGGGCTAGAGTTGCAACTCAGCGGTAGAGTGCTTGCCTCAATTTCTATCACCTCAAATATATAAGCAAATTAAGGAAATGTCCATCAACAGCTAAAAAATATTTTAAAAAATCTATCAGGAAAAATAGAATTAAAGGAGTAGCTAATGTTGGATGATGAAGGAATGTGAGCAGTGGTTCTCAATTGAGTATGTATCAGAATTAATCTGGAGAGCTTTGTTTTTTTTTAATATCTTTATTTTGTTTATTTATTTTTATGTGGTGCTGAGGATCGAACCCAGTGCCTCACATGTGTGAGGCAAGCACTCTGCCACTGAGCCACAATCCCAGTCCTGAGCCACAATCCCAGCCCTGAGTATAGGCAGTGGGATGACTGTGGCTCTAAAAGGCAATAAGAGGAATCCTTGTAGTGATGGGATCGTTCTGTTTCTTACCTGTGTCAGTGTCAGTATCCTGATTGTGATTTTGTGTTATAGTTAAGATGTTGCCATTGGGGAAACTGGTGAAGGAGTACTTAGGTCTAAGATCTCTGTCACATCCTTACAGCTGCATGTGAACCCACAGTTACTCTAAGATAAAATGTTCAATTGGAGAGGGGTCGACCCCACTGTGTAGAGATTAGGGAAGGTCTGTGAGTGGAGTTGAGGAAAATACCCTATATTCTGTGTGGGGTGTTTGAGAACAAGAGTCAACATGAGAAGTAAAAATATGAGAAAATAGGCAAATTAAGAAGAGTCTATGGACTGGGGTTATGTCTCAGTGGTACAGTGCTTGCCTCACATGCGTGAGCCGCTGGGTTTGATCCTAAGCACCACATAAAAATAAATAAATAAATAAAATAAAGATATTGTGTCTATGTACAATTGAAAATATTTAAAAAGTACTGTTAGGGAAGGCAAAAGTCAGGTCTGTGAACAATGTCAGATGGTACAGAGAGATTGAATTGCAAGAAGACTGATGGTGGTATATGTGAGAATGAGGTCACTGGGGCCTGGTGAGGAGTTAAGGGCTTAAAGATGAACAGCAAACAAGGAGGCAGAAAAAGGGGGCTGGGGATGTGGCTCAAGCGGTAGTGCGCTCGCCTGGCGTGCGTGCGGCCCGGGTTCGATCCTCAGCACCACATACAAAGATGTTGTGTCCGCCAAAAACTGAAAAATAAATATTAAAAAAAATTCTCTCTCTCTCTCTCTCTCTCTCCTCCCTCTCTCTTCAAAAAAAAAAAGGAGGCAGAAAAAGGACTGCTGACTACAACTTCAGCTACATAAGCGTGGAACAAGTATAGGCAGGTGGCTTGAAGGAAAGGAAGTAGGGGAAGTGAGATATTTATAGATGAGTTGCATGTTTGAGGAATTAGAGGAAGGAAGGAGTTAGAAGTGAGGGGGTACCAGGGGTGATGGCCAGTGGTGGAGTGGAGTCAGTTTGTTTCTTTCTTTTTTTTTTTTTTTTTTAATTTTTCTTTTGGAGCAGAAAGGATTTTTTATTTTTTATTTTTTTGGCAGTGCTGAGGGTGGAACCCAGGACCTTGTATATGCTAGGCAGGTACTCTGGGACTGAACTATATATCCTCAGCTTAGGACACAGGATTCTTTTTTTTTTTTTTTTTTTTTGTTCTTGTTGTTAAATTTGTTCTTTTTTGTTATACATTATAAGAGAATGTATTTTGGCATAATATACATACATGGAGTATAACTTATTCTAATTAGGATCCTATTCTTGTTGTTATACATGATGTGGAGTTACCCTGGTCTTATATTCAAAACAAGACTAGGAGACTAGGAAGGTTATGTCTTATTAATTCAACTGTCCTTCCCATTCCCCTTCCTACTGCCTTCCCTTTGTTTTCCTTTGTCTAATCCAGTAGAATTATATTCTTCCCCTTCTTCCTACCCTCTGTTGTTCTTGGTTAGCATCCACATATTAGAACATTCAGCCTTTGGTGTTTTGGGATTAGCTTATTTCACTCAGCAGGATTTTCTCCAGTTCCATCCATTTACCAACAAATGCCATAATTTCATTATTCTTCATGATTGAGTAATATTCCATTGTGTATGTATACCACATTTTCTTTTTCTTTTCATTTGTTGAAGGTCACCTAGGTTGGTTCCATAGCTTAGCTATTGTGAATTGAGTTGCTCTAAACATTGATGTGGCTGTGTCACTGTAGTATACTGATTTTACATCCTTTGAGTATAGACCAAAGAGTGGGATAACTACATCAGTTGGTAGTTCCATTCCAAGTTTCTACTTGCTCCCCATATCCTTGCCCACATTTATTGTTACTTGTATTGTTTATAATTGCCATTCTCACTGGAGTGAGATGGAATCTCAGTGTAGTAATGTGCATTTCTTAATTTTGCTAGATATGTTGAACATTTTTTTCACATATTTTTTGACCATTCATATTTCTTCATTTCTGAAGTGCCTGTTTGTTGCAGGACACCCAGGTTGGTTCCATAGTTTAGCTATTGTGAATTGAGCTGCTCTAAACATTGATGTGGCTGCATCACTCTAGTATGCTGATTGTTTTTAAACATTATTTTAGATGTTGAGGGACATTTAATTTATTCATTTATTTATACATGGTGCTGAGAATCGAACCCAGTTCCTCACACATGCTGGGCAAGCACTCTATCACTGAGACACAACCCCAGCCTCTAGTATGCTGATTTTAAGTCCTTTGGGATAACATTAGGTAACATTAGATCATTAGTACCAATAACCACATTATTGTTTAGAGTGTCAGTAAGGTTGCTTATTCTGAAGTTACCTTTCATAATTACAATATGTAAAGTTCAGGAATTTGTACATTTCTCAAGGAGGTCGTCCATTGTCTGAAGTTACTGTTACGCTGGCAGCTCCAGGAGTGCCTGATCTTGGTGAAACATAGTTACCAAGCAAACAAGTTCCTTTATTCCCAGGAGTTATGTGCCTAAGATTATGGTGGAAGCTGATAAGACTCTAGCATGGAGGGCATTACCATAGCAACGGGGCATCCTATGCCTTTGCACAGGAACTTTCCCAGGCACCAAGCATGTCACAGCCATGAAGTCCTCAGGGACACCAATCCCAAACACAGAACCCTTCAGATTTTTTATTCTAATTTTTCATATATGACAGCAGAATGCATTACAATTCCTATTACACATATGGAGTACAATTTTTAATATCTCTGGTTGTATAGAAAGTATATTCACACAATTTGTGTCTTCGTACTTGTACTCATGGTAATGATGTCCATCTCATTCACCATCTTTTTTACACCTCTTGCCCCCTTCCTTCTTCCATCCTCTTTGCCCTATCTAGAGTTCCTCTAATATTCCCATGGTCCCCCTCCCAACCCCACTATGAATAAGCCTCTTTATATCAGAGAAAACATTCGACATTGTTTTTTGGGGATTGGCTAACATCACTTTGCGTTATATTCTCCAACTCCTTCCATTTACCTGCAGATGTCATGATTTTATTCTCTTTTATTGCTGAGTAATATTCCATTTTGTATATATATACCACGTTTTCTTTATCCATTCATCTACTGAGGCATCCACGTTGGTTCTACAGTCTAGCTATTATGTGCTGCAATAAACATTGATGTGGCTGTTGATAGACCCAACCTGATTTTCTCTCAAAATTGGGAGCCATCTCGCCACAAAGCCATGAAAAGATAATTTTGGCTTTACTATAAATTACTGCAAATTCTGAACCTGCTTGGAATGCCTGCCCGTGCCTTGAACTCACCCATGCCTGGCTCTCTGACCAGATAGCAGCCCTCTCTGAAACTTTAGTGACACCTCATAAATATTGGCCTTCCTTGGCCAGATAACGACCCTCTCTGAGGCTCTAATGATCCTCATAGATTCTGATGTTGGGGCCAGCAAAAACTGTAAACTACCGTTTGTGTTATGCTCCTCAGAGTTCTGTTATCTGTAACCCCCCTTTGTGTAACTTTCTGGGCTATAAAGCTGAACTGCAGGAAAGCTGCGGCTGCTGTCTTGTTCCTGCGGTTTTGGGTGGGAGAGGCAGCCCGGCCGGTCGAAATAATAAGCTTGCTTTAATTTGATTTTAATTGGAGTCAGTGCTCTTTTCTTGCGTCCTGGTCTAACAGCTGTGTCCCTGTAGTATGCTGTTTTTAAGTCCTCTGGGTATAAACTGAGGAGTGGAATAGCTGGATCAAATGGTGGTTCCATTCCAAGTTTTCTAAGGAATCTCCATACTGTTTTCCATATTGGCTGCACCATTTTGCAGTCCTACCAGCAGTGTATGAGTGTGCCTTTTTCCCCACATCCTTACCAACCCTTATTATTGTTTGTATTTTTTTTTTTAAAGAGAGAGAGAGAGAATTTTAATATTTATTTTTTCAGTTTTCAGCGGACACAACATCTTTGTTTGTATGTGGTGCTGAGGATCGAACCCGGGCCGCACGCATGCCAGGCGAGCGTGCTACCGCTTGAGCCACATCCCCAGCCCTGTTTGTATTCTTAATAGCTGCCATTCTGACTGGAGTAAGATGAAATCTTAGAGTAGTTTTGATTTGCATTTCTCTAATAGCTAGAGTGTTGAACATCTTTTTATATATTTGTTGATTGATTGTATATCCTCTTCTGAGAAGTGTCTGTTCAGGTCCTTGGCCCATTTATTGATTGGGTTATTTGTTATTTTGGTGTTTAGCTTTTTCAGTTCTTTATATACCCTAGAGATTAGTGCTCTGATGTGCAAGTGGTAAAAGTTTGCTCCCAAGCTGTAGGCTCTCTCTTCACCTCACTGATTTTTTCCTTTTGTTGAGAAGAAACTTTTTAGTTCCAATCCATCCCATTTATTAATTCTTTTTTTTTTAATTTTGTTTTTAAAGACCTTTATTTCACTTTTTTTTATGTGGTGCTGAGGTTCGAACCCAGGGTCTCGCGCCTGTGAGGCGAGCGCTCTATCGCTGAGCCACAGCCCCAGTCCCATCCCATTTATTAATTCTTGTTTATACTTCTTGCGCTATAGGAGTGCTCTTAAGGAAATAGTGTCCTAATCCGATATGATTGAGATCTAGGCCTACTTTTTCTTTTGTTAGACGCAGGGTCTCTGGTTTAATTCCTAGGTCCTTGATCCACTTTGAGTTGAGTATTATGCATGGTGAGAAATAGGGATTTAATTTCATTTTGTTGCATATGGAGTTCCAGTTTTCCCAGCACCATTTTTGAAGAGGCTGTCTTTTCTCCAATGTATGTTTTTGGAGCCTTTGTGTAATATAAGATAACTGTAAATGGGGCTGGAGTTGTGGCGCAGTGGTAGAGCGCTAGCTTAGCACATGTAAGGCCCTGGGTTCGATCCTCAGCACCACATAAAAATAAATTAAAAAAAAAAATAAAGGTACAATACCTTGGGTCTAACTACAACTAAAAATAAATATTTTTTTTAATAAAAAAATAAGATAACTGTAATTATGTGGGTTAGTCTCTGTGTCCTCTATTCTGTACCATTGATCTACCAGTCTATTTTGGTGCCAGTACCATGCTGTTTTTGTTAGTGTTGCTCTGTAGTATAATTTAAGGTCTGGTATAGTGATGCCACCTGCTTCATTCTTCTTGCTAAGAATTGCTTTGGCTATTCTGGGTCTCTCATTTGTCCAGGTGAATTTCATGACTGCTTTTTCTATTTCTATGAGGAATGTCATTGGGATTTTGATTGGAATTGCATTAAATCTGTATAATGCTTTTAGTTATATGGCCATTTTGACATATTAATTCTTCCTATCCAAGAACAAGGGAGATATTTCCATCTTGTAAGGTCTGCCTCAATTTCTTTCTTTAGCGTTCTGTAGTTTTCTTTGTAGAGGTCTTTCACCTCTTTTGTTAGGTTAATTTGCAGGTATTTTTTTTTGAAGCTATTATCAATGGCATAGTTTTCCTCGTTTCCCTTTTAGAGGATTTGTCCCTGACAAATTTATGCCTATGATTTTCTTTTTAAAATAATAGCCATCCTAATGATCATATGAGGTGTATTTCATTGTTTATCTGGAAATGTCATATTAATTTTTCTTTCTATTTTTTTTTAATATTTATTTTTTAGTTATTGGCGGACACAACATCTTTGTTTGTATGTGGTGCTGAGGATCGAACCCGGGCCACACGCATGCCAGGCGAGCGAGTTACCGCTTGAGCCACATCCCCAGCCCTCTATTTTTTTTTAAAGAGAGAGAGAATGAATCTTTTTTTTAGATGGACACAACACAACACAATGCATTTATTTATTTATTTATTTTTATGTGGTGCTGAGAATCGAACCCGGGTTGCGCCCGTGCTAGGGGAGCGCTCTACCGCTGAGCCACAATCCCAGCCCTCTTTCTTTCTTTCTTTCTTTTTTTTTTTTAAGAGAGAGAATTTTTAATATTTATTTTTTTTTTAGTTTTTGGCGGACACAACATCTTTGTTTGTATGTTGTGCTTAGGATCGAACCCGGGCCGCACACTTGCCAAGCGAGCGTGCTACCGCTTGAGCCGCATCCCCAGCCCCTCCCAGCCCTCTTTCTATTTTTTTTTTTTTATGGTAGTGGGGATTGAACCAAGGGATGCTTTACCACTGACCCCTATCCCCAATTCTTTTAATTTTTTTTTTTTTTAATCTTGAGACAGGTTTTTTTTAAGTTACTGAGGTCTTAGTAAGTATCTGAGGCTGGGATTACAGGTATGTGCCATGGTGCCCAACTCCCTCCATGCTTATGATACTAAATTTGAAGAACCCCTTATTTCTTTTCTTTCTGTGTCTGCTTGAATGTTTCCTGAGTTGGGGAACTCACTGGATAGACTTTTCATTCCTGTGTTCATCTCAAATCTTCGTCTCTATGCTTCTCTGCCCTGGTCCCAGTTTTATCATTCATTAGGCCTTTCTTCAGAGCTCTTCACTTGTCACCTTCTGCCTAGGGATGGAGGTGAGAGGTTGTTTGAGGGGAGTGGGCTTGAGCTGAGACTAATAAATGAGGAGAATATCTCAGTATCCAGGTTCTAGGTAGTTATCTGCTCTCTGAGTGGCTCATCCTTCCTCAAATATCTCCAAGGTTCCTGTTAAGATAACCTGATAACCTGATTGAGGATAGCTTACTCAGGGCCCTGTTTTCCATGCTTGGGTGGAGAGGACCACATTACATATCCCCCAAATCACGATTTGTTGTTAGTACTAGTGTGACCGTCCATGTAATACCCATGTGATGTGAAATGAAGGTGGTTTTCCTGAGTCCAAGGCCTTCTCTTGTGTCCAGGATCTACATGTCCAGGACTGACCATTGTTCTCCAATTTCTCTACAGGAGCTGATTGACCTCAAGATGCTTCAGTGCAAGAGAGTTGTCAATGGTGAGTCCAGCCCTGGCCCAGAATTGTGTGTGTGCTCATTTGGCTTAGGTGACACTACCACTGGCCCTACCTGGGTTCCTGCCTGGCTGCATAATGTGTGTGGATCATGTGCTCCCTTGAGAGCAGTCATTGCTCTCCACCTAAAGCCTGATGTGAAGCAGGCTAAGAATGCCTTGGTGACATAGAAATGACCATGTTTCGTATACAGAAGGGACCCTAGGATCCTTGAAGTCACAATGGCTTCAGTGCTTGGCCTGGCCTGTGACTTGGGCAAGTCATAGGACTTCTTTCCACCACAATTTCTTATCATTCAAATGTAATTATGAGCCTTAGTTTACTTAAATTGTATAGTTAAAGTGAAGACGAAATAAGATAAGGAAACAGTAAGTAGTTTGTACACCTTAAGCCCTGTGAAAATGGAAGTGCTTGTGGTGAACTGTGGGTTTTCTTCTAGTTTATTGATGAGGCTGATTCTGCTTTAATTAGAGTTGTGGTAATCTTTGAGGTTTCTGATACATACATATGTACATATACACATGTATATATCAAATCTTGATATTTCACAAAAAGTCATGACTCAATTTCGTCAAATTCTCTTTTATTTACATTTTTGTATGTTATGAAAAAAATCAATATTATGAATCCATAAAACCTAGAAAATGAAAATCCTCCATAATCTCATACTTAAAGAGTTAATCAGGGTGGGTACAGTGGCACACCTCTGTAATCCCAGTGACTCATGAGGCTGAGGCAGGAGGCTACCCTCAGCAACTTAGCAAGACCTGTCTCAAAATTAAAAATAAAGAGGCTTAGGGATGTAGCTCATTGGAAAATTACCCCTAGTTTGAATCTCCAATACCAAAAAGAAAGGTTATTATAGGGTTTTGCATGTAGCTCAGTGGTAGGAACTTCCCCAGCGTTCATGAGATTCTGGGGTCATTCCCATGTACCACCACCACAACAAAAGAATTAAGCATAAAGAGGAATAATGTGGGTTTTCCTACGCGTATATTATGAAAAATGTGTAATATTTAAAAATGTGACCACTTTTTATCTGTGCCCCCTTCCCTTGGGATTGTGTGGCATATACTGTTTAGCCACTTTTTTACATTTTTGCCTATCAGATACATTAAAATTGGTTTCCCTAGTGCCTTTACTGGGGTTTCAGTATTTTGCTTTTATCAGTAAACTTCATTATAAGCACACCCTAGTTTTTGTGGTTCTCTCACCTTTCTTCCTGCCAGTGTTAAGCTTTCTCTGTGAGAGATTACTTCGATTACCTCTCCCAACATGTCTTTTTAGCCTTCTAAGCTGTTCAATGCTGGGATGATAATTCCAGATTCCATTTATGGAAATGCTTTACATGCTTTAAAGATCTTAGTTCTCAAAACAGCCTTCAAGATAGGTATATTCACCCATCTGCCACATTGTATATTTTTATTATATTAGTCATCTTTGAAAGTCAATGATGATAGAAGCTTTTGTTGAGCTTCTGGTGTGGCTCAGCAGTAGTGCATTTGTCTGGCATGTGTGAGGCACTGGGTTTGGTTCTCAGCACCACGCACATAAATAAAATAAAGGTCAATCAACAACTAAGAAAAAAAAAGAAGAAGGATATATGAGATGTAGTTGATTTTTGTTAATGTTCGGTTAAATTGCTGAGAAACACTTAAAATCTATTCATGACTATTGAACCAGGTGACCCTAGGGGAAATACAGGATTAGGTTTTTGCTAGCCTCTGGTCATATTTTCATCATCTGATCATCACTTACACTTAGTTTATTTCATTTGTTTCTGTTCAAAGACATGCTGTTTATTTATTTAGGAGCTAGGGTTCAAACCCAGAGCCTTGTGCATGTTAAGCATATGCTCTCGTGGAGCGGTACTGGCAGCTCCAACCAATATATCATTGATTCATTAACCTTGAACTCAAGAGCCAATAGCACTATATTGTCATAACCAAGGCTTATCGAATACAAGTGTTTTGACCTTTAGGTTCACCACAGCCTTCTTTTGCTTAAGATAATAGACAGAACTTCAGCACTATGCTTGGATCCATTTTAAACAGTGAGATCACTAACAAAAAGCACCAAAATACACAAAATGAAGGGCTAAATATACCATAAAAGGGCTCATTTTTACAGTATAAGAGCTAAAACAAGAAGACAAGTGGCACTGTGTTTGAACTCAGCTGGAGATGTGTATGTACATCAGGTGACTCCAATTTGTTGTCACTTACTGTCTGTCCCTGAATGACTGGAAACACCACATGTATTGATTCAGGGTTATAAATTAGTTTTACTAAATCGATGAATTTGAAAATATGCAACTGCAAATAATAGTGAAGACTGACTGAAATAGAGTACTCCTCCACTTAATTACTCTAAGTAATTAAGAAATGATCACTTGCAGACCCTCAAAGTGCCATCTTCCAGGACAGTTCTAGTATTGAAACACAAATTAAATGTGTGTACATTTTTTCCAGTATTTCAAAAAATTGTAAAGTGCTTGTAATCATGCAGAAAAAGTGCATAAAACCTAAATATGCAATTTAACAAATAATTATAAAGTGAACCAACCATTACCTGTGTCGTGAGATGGACCATATCAGCACCTTAGATGCCTCCCAGTGCATACTTATTTTGTAGGAATCATCTGATCCCTTTTTTCTTTTCAAGGTTATACTTGGCTGTGTTCACTGCCAGGGCTTAGGCTAGTCTGAACTTGCATCCCATGTGTTTGTGTTTTCTTGCAGAGGTGCTCAAAACAGTGGATTTTGTAGCCCCTGATGACCGAGTCATCTTCCGCACCTGTGAAAGAGAACAGAGCAGAGTGGTCTTCCAGATGGTATGAGACCCTAATGTCAAGTGTCCTCCTGAGTATTCCTATCTCCTGTTTCATTGCTTGGGTCCTGTGCTGGCCACTATTGAGTGCCTGAGCTACTTTGCATAGCAGGGACTTCCTGAAGATTTGACCATTTTTCAAAGGGTCATTCCTGAGTACTTACAGTATTGGAGACAGATTATGGAAATCAAGCTGACACAGTCTGTTACATGCCTGCAAGTCTCAGATTTAATTTACTTAATTAAAGGTCTCTAGATTTATTTTTCTAATCTGTAACATTGAGTATTCATATCATACTGCTTATTTTTTATAGTCTGAATTTATTTCCTATCAAAGGAATTAGATTTCCTTAACAGTAAACTTTTGAATTTTTTGTTTGTATTTGTTTTTTTGATAGCAGGGATTGAGCTCAAGGGTACTCAACCCCTGAGCCACATCCCCAGCCCTTTTTATTTTTTATTTTGAGACAGGGTTTCACCAAGTTGCCTAAAGCTTTACTGAATTGCTGAGGCTGGCTTTAAACTTGCAATATTCCTGCCTCAACCTCCCCAGCCACTGTGATTATAGGTGTGTGTCTCGGTGTCTGGGTAGTTAAACTATAGCTCTCTTCTCTTGCACTAGACATTTCTTGGAGCTTTTTTAGAAATAGCTCCCAAAAGATGTTTAAGTTTTTATAAAGTTGATGACAATGAGTGGGTATGTGATCAAGTAGATATAATTATGGACTCTAAGTTGTGGTATCTGAATGTTTTCTATAAGATTTTTTTTCATGTTTTTGTATGTTGGAAAGTAACAACAGCATTAATGACATTGTTTAGGCCTTCCAAGTCCATCTTTTTTTTTTTTAAACCAGTGAGCTAATATATTGGGCTGGCTTTTTTGGAGAAAACTGGCCCAAACTGCTTGTTGGCATGACAATGTGTGTGTTGTGTGTGTGTGTGTGTGTGCCTGTGTGTGTGTGTTTGTAAGAGCGAAATAGAGAGTGGAAAAGAAAGAGTGTGTGTGTGTGTGTGTGTGTGTGTGTGGTGGGGGAGATGGGTGTGTTTGTCACGCACATTTGCCTTTTTCAGGGCATTGGTTGATGAAGCCTTTTGTGTTCCTAGGGAACCTCAGATGCAGAGCGAGCACTTGCTGTGGCCAGGCTTGTGTAAGTTCCTCCCTCTTGAGCTCCCTTTGTCTTTACTGGAGTTAAGAGGTCTTACTGTCACTGGTGACTTTGGAAGTGACCCACACTTCTGCCTCCTGGCATGTTACTATTTTCAACTGAGGGTGATTTCCTTTCCTGTTTATGGCATCTGAAGGCTGTCCTGGGATTCAAATGTACCCACTGTTCCCAGACCGCAGAGACCCCCATGTGAAGGCCCAATTTTAATGTTTATTTATGGGATTCCCTTTTTGGGGGATACTTCTGATTGTGAGTCCTGAGGCTTTAACTCTCAGTGTAGGTGAGACTTATTGCTTCTGGAGTTAATAAAGGCAGCAGAGTATTCACGGTTTAAGAGTGGGTTTTAGAGTTAATGGTTTGCTACTGGCTAACTGTGTGACCTTAGGAAGTTACTTAACCTTGCTGATCATTTTGTTCCTTTCTGTGTGAAAGGATACCAGTAGTAGTAACATCCTCTGGCATAGTGTAGGGCAAGTGAAATAAGGCATGTTATTTGGAGAATGTCACACATTGGGAGTGCTTAGTAAATGTTCCCTTCTGATATTGATGACAGTGATAGCAAGAAGAGACTCGGGCAGTAATTGCTTTTGATCACAGACTGTTAAAATCAGAGAATGAGGTCCAAGTTCTTTCTACATTTGATAATTATTTGGAGTAAGCTACCTGTGTCACCCAGCAACTGAAGGCAGTCCTGTAACTTATGCCAGAGGAGTTGCTGTGGCAAAGGGCTCTTGTGCTTATGTCACATCTTTGCCTTGGCAAATAGCTTTCATTACCCCAGTGAGAAATGCTGCCTTGGAATTGAATTTAGCATGAGTGTAACTTGGTATTTGAATTATCTGACACAACTCCATTGTAACAAAGACCTCAATACCTAGCTCTTTTCAATGTATAGATACGTTATGTCTTTCCTCTGGAACTCTGCTCAGATGAAGTCTGTCATTGAGGGTGGTGTGTTTCTTGAATCCAGACTCACAATGACAGGTTAATGAGCACAGACTCATCCATGCTTTTTACTCTAGTTTCTTCCCTCAGTTTGAATGTTGTTTTTTTTTTTTTTAATATTTACTTTTTACTTGTAGGTGGACACACAATATCTTTATTTCATTTTCTTATATGTTGCTGAGGATCGAACCCAGTGCCTCATGTATGCTAGTTGAGCACTATACCTCTGAGCCACAACTCCAGCCCTTTAATGTTTATTTCCTTTTTGCTTTTCATGTTTTTCCAGAGAAAATGATGTAGCTGGTATTGACGTCAACATGGGCTGTCCAAAAGAATATTCCACCAAGGTAAATTGATTTCTTTATATTTCTCAGAAGTATCCTATGGAGATTAAAGGAAGCTAACAAGACATGATGGCTAGGTACAGTACCCAGTTCTGGACTAGATCCTGAGCTGGATGAAGAAAATGCTTGAAAGTCTGTTAGTGGATCAATAAGCACAACTGGAACAGGGCCAGGCATGGTGGTCCATGCCTGTAATCCCAGTTATTTGGAAGGCTGAGGCAGGAGGATTGCAAATATGAAGCCATCCCAGGCAACTTAGGCAGACCTTGTCTCAAAATAAAACAATAAAAAGAACTGGGGATGCAGCTCATTTGTACAGCATTTGCCTAGCATGTACAAGGCCCAGGGTCAACCCCAGGTACTGTTTAAGGAAAAAAAAAGGCCAAAAAAAAAAAATAATAATAGGACCTGGGCTTTGTCAAGATGCTGTGTCATATCAGAAGAGATCAGACTAGAAGGCTATGTTAAGCCTGAGAACAGAGTGGAAAGGCACCCTTAAACTTGTTTTTGATGAGGAAATGTGGTCCTTGAGGAAGAGTTATAGGACAGATGAGAAGAGTGGCATGTGCAGGAGCATGGAGGCCCCTAGGTGGTGAAGCCAGAACTGTGAATGGCTCATTTTCATCAGAGGACTGGGGAATAGGAGATGAAGAGGGAGCAAAGGAGCATAGGATCGCAAACTTTAGTTGGGATCAGATCAGCTGGACTTGGACTTTGGTATCTTTGCCCCCCCCCTTTTTTTTTGGAGCAGAGAAGCCATGTGTCTGGTGGATTAGAATGACAAAAGGCCAGAGGTTTGGATATGGGTATTGGCTGGCAAATTGTTGGGTGTGTGGTGGTGGGATAAAGTGGTTGTAGTTCAGGAAGGATTGACTGGTAGCCAGGAAGCAGGTTTCTTTTTCTTTAGCTGTGATCAGATGTTGAAAAAGGACAGGTTTGGAATAGATAATAAAAGCAGGTTGAGGTTGCTGAGTGTAAGGCATCAGAGCAGAAGGTCGACAGTGTAGACATAGTAGATGTTCCCCTGGCCCAGTGTTCAGAGTCAGCCACTATGCTCTGAGAAGTCACCCAGCCTGACACCAATGCTTTAGGTAAGGAGGCTTCAGAATGCCTGCCTGCCTGCTTAATAAACCAGAGGGCTTTGTGGATATTACCTTCAAAAAATTAACAGAAATTTGCAATTGTCTATGAGCAGTTGAAAACTTATTGCTGTTTTTTCTCATGACTGTGTGCTACTCCGTTCTATAAGGAGCAGAGTTGAAATGATTTGGAATGATCTCCTGATGTTGTGAGAAGAGCAATGAGAAGAATTTCAAATAGTGTACTACTGTATACTTAAGGAAAATGGGAAATGAGTATTTATGTATGTTGCCTTTTTTATTTATAGAATATAATTGAAAAGACAAAACAATAAACCAGGGACTTTGACTACTTCTGGGGAAGGAAACTTGAGTTTTATTCAGTCTTATATAGGCAGTACATTTATACTCTGGGGTGCTACTTAAAATAATGAGCAACTGGCACTAGCCAGTCAGAACAGATACCAACCAGTATGCCGTAGCAGCACAGGCCAGCTACTGTCTGCCCTGTCCTCCTGCTTTAAACAGTATGAAAGTGTAGATTGAACTGGATACAGTGGTACATGCCTATAATTCCAGTGACTCCACAAGGTACACAGGAGGATCTCAAGTTTGAGGGCAACCTCAGCAATCAGCTCCCTGTCTCAAAGAAAATTGAGATTGTCAATTAAAAAAAGAGTCTCTTATCCCTTAAGTAGGGAAAATTGTACTTTCTTAACTTTTGAACCTCTTGCATTTTGAATGTATTATCTATTTAAAAAAAAAAAAAGGAAAAAATTAGAAAGAAAGGAAGGAAATTCCATTGTGGAAAATTGCTGTGAAAGGGGCAGTGAGCTTGAATTTTAGATCCTGTAATTCTTTAAGGAAGGGCTGCATTGTGTGTGTGTGTGTGTGTGGTGAAGGACAGATGCAGCTGGGTGAGTGTCCAGGCTTCCTTGAGGCCTCTAAAGTTTGTATCCTCCTGCCTCTAAAGTTTCTATCTGAAATGCAGAGCTAATGGCTCTTCCTCCCTGCCAATTCTCAAAATGCAGGCCCAATATGTCCAGTTTGTGGTGATTTTTTTTTTTTGGGGGGGGGGGGGGGCGGGGCGGGTACCAGGGATTGAACTCAGGGTCATTTAACTACTGAGCCATATCCCCAGCCTTTTTTATTTTTAATCTTGAGACAGTCTCACCAAGATGCTGAGGCCGGCTTTGGACTTGTGATTTTACTCGCTTGCCCTCCCAAGCTGCTGGGAGTATTGGTGTGCACCACTGTACCTGGTAGTCTGTGATGATTTAATGTACTCTTTGAATCTGTCATCCTTAAGCATGAAATTAAAACTGTAACAACTGAACTTAAACTTTCTGAGCACATCCTGTGAACATTCAATAGTTATGTAGTGTATATACTGTATTTATTGGATTTTTCTCCCCTTTATTCAGATTTTAAAAATATTTTTAGTTGTAGATGGACACAATACCTTCATTTATTTTTACATGGTGCTGAGGATCGAACCCAGTGCCTTCCACATGCAAGGCGAGCACGCTACCACTGAGCTACAGCCCCAGCCCCTCAGATTTTTAAAGATTCCCTCCTCTTTTACTTTCCCCTGAGATGCTAATTATTAAAGTAATTCATTGTATTGGCTAGAACATAGGAAATGTAGAAAATTCTAACAAGAGGGCTCTGTTTGTGGCTCAGTGGTGGAGTGCTTGCCTGGAATGTGTGGGGCACAGGGTTTGATTCTCAGAACTGCTTAAAAATAAATTAAATAAAGACCCATTGACAACTAACAAAATTAAATAAAAAATAAGAAATTTGTAAAGAGAGCAAGGTATCATGGCACATGCCAATAATCCCAGCTCCTTGGGAGGCTGAGACAGGAGGATCACAAGTTTGAGGCCAGCCTGAGCAAGTTCTGAGACCTTGTCTCCAAATAAAAAATAGAAAATGCTGGGTATATAGATAAAAGGTAGAACAACCCTGGAATGAATTTCCAGTAGTGTAGACGGACAAAAGAAAAGGACAAGAAAATTGTTGTTGATAATGTCCTGAGAATGGGAAGTGTGCACTTATAAAGAAACATGCACTTACAAAGAAGTTACTCGATACCAATGAGAAGGAAGAATACAAATGATAGCTTTTAAATACAGTCGCTGGCTCTGCCGAGCTCTGAAAACTCAAGTTCAAGCTGCATTAGTTTCCCATGTCAAACTGAACCAAGGCCCTAGTTGCAACGCCATTGCAAATCATTTGCAACCACCTGCAGGGATTCTTTCAAATTTTTGTATATTTGAATAACTGTATAATTAACAACAGCAACAATAAAATTTTTTATTTCTTTAAAAAAATATGAGTAAAATTTTTTTTAAAAAGATGCATTAAGTGTTATAGGTAAATACAAGACCTCTCTACAGAGAGGCTCAGCCAGCCAGCTTCTTTGACATTGGTCTCTTGGTAGAAATTTTGGGGCTGGGACAACCCAGGGACTTTTCTGCCTCTGTTGGAGCTCGGCGTTTCTTGGGAGCCTCTCTGGCTCTCTGGGTTGGCTTTTGGGCTGGCTTCTGGGCTGGCTTCTCTGCTGGCTTTTCTGCTTTGGCCTTTGGTGGAGTGGCCAAGGGAACATCTCCATAGAGCCGGTAGCCACCAACCAGGCAGTATGTCTCTCCATGCCAGCCCACCTGGGTTTCTCCACATCCTCTGTAGAGGACATGGTAGTATGCAGGTGTAGGAGGAGATGTGGAAGGCACTGCTGCTGGAAAGAAAACAGAACTTATGAGACACTTCTGTTACTTGTGTTTTGTGCACTCAGCTGCTAGTACCTCCCTCTCCTAATCTTTCCTGTTTCTGACTGAAGCCCTCTTCTCTGCATGGCATCCCAAACATAGCCTTTGCCTGTTAACCTCTATGGTTGCTTTGCCTGTCTCCTCAAGGGATGATTGCTATCAAAGTAATTGAGTTCTGTGGAGCCAAAGGAAGCATGAGGATAATAGTCAAACCTCAGAATTATCCCAAACAGCCCTCCCTCAGTCTCTCCCTTCTACAACTGAGAAAAATATCTTAAGGTCTGTCATTTCTGAGTTTTTCATGGAAATAATTTTCAAGGTTTGGAAAATCTGGTCTAATATAAATTGGATTAGAACCCCTCCCACCTTAGCAGCTCCCTGTGGGACCCATTGTTACAGCCTGTTTCAGCCACACTGAATTCTAGACTAATTTTTATAGATTTTTGTAATTCTTTTTTTTTTTTCCGTGGGGTGGGGGGTTGGCTACCAGAGATTGAACTCAGCGGCACTCAACCACAGAGCCACATCCCCAGTCCTATTTTGTATTTTTTTTTAGAGGCAGGGTCTCGCTGAGTTGCTTAATGCCTCACTTTTGCTGAGGCTGGCTTTGAACTCACAATCGTCCCCTCTCAGCCTCCCGAGCCACTGGGATTACACATATGCACCACTGTGCCCAGCTGCTTTTTTTTTTTTTGAGATTATGTTTTACTATGTTTCCCCCAGACTAGACTCGAATTGAGCTCAAGCAATTCTCCTGCCTCAGCCTCCTGAGTAGCTGGGATTATCGTTCCATACCACTGTGCCCAACTCTACCACTTTCTGAAGGCTATATACTGGGGCAGAGGGATTAAGAGAATGAGATCCAAATTCTCGATACCAAGTTTAGGCACAATAGCCTTTGCACATCCATTTCTTGAGACATCGTTTCCTCAGAACTCCAGTCTCTGTATCACTTCACCTCTCCCCCTGGCCCTTCTGTTCTTCCCAACTGCCTGAGAACACCCTTTTTCTCAGCATTTCAGACTGGGATGTGAAGGGGATCCATGTGAGTGTATCCATGACAGTATGCTATAGGTGCCTGGGTCTGAAGGTGAGGTTCATAAGAGACTGATAGCCCTTCCTCAAATGCTTCAATTATCCCTGGATAACAAAAGCA